CTTATTAGAGATAGAGGACCGAAGTAAAAAAAAATAAAAAGAGGGCAAGTAACGCCACGAAAAAAGAGCTAGAAGTGTATGAGGAAATAAATGTTATTGGTGCTGACGATATGGAGTAGTCGATCAAACGAATGGTAGTTGTTCAAGGGTCGCCTCAGGGGGGTTCTAGCCATCTGGAACTCGGGGCTGATCAGCATCAAATATAGGCAGTTAGGTAATGCACAGGTGTCGTCAACTATTTCAAAGTATTAAAGTGGGGATTTTGGGGTCGAAAAACAGTGCAAGGAGTCTTAACGTGTATTTCTATATCTGTGTGCTCCGTACAGAGGAGGGAGAAGGGGTACCAACTCTTCAAGCCTCCTTGGCAATTGAAGGTTTATGCTTTCATTTTCGAGACCTAAAAAAAGACCTATATAGCCAAAGAAAAAATAAAAAAAAAAAGTTGCTTGCACCGGTCAGTAGTGGAGAGCTTAAGTCCCCTTGGAAGTTTTGACCGTTTTGCCCCTTTCATCGAGGGCAGGCGTTATTATGGTGTTGTGTGCTAATTTCAAAGTGATGAAATAAAGCCTCGGTTCCTCCACCGCTCAGGCAAGGAAGGAACGTACTAGAGTGTTATTAGCTGTGTTATCAATAATTCACCATCTCCCAAACAGTTCAAGGGTCCGGCTTTCTCTCTGCGGGGAATAACACTCAAAGCCAAAGGTGCTGCCTCAAGGGCCTAGATGAAACAGTGTGGATTTGCGTGGAGGTCCTTCGGTCAAGCAGGGGATGCTGCGTGGATGAATAAAATGAAGGAACGTTCTATTTTTTATCCCCTTTTTTGTAAAAGCCAATTGAAATTGCTCGTTTGGTGGTTTATTGGAGGCAGGAGTCCTCGTTAGTCGATCGGTCATCATTTAGCCCACGGAATAACATGGCTCCTTCAACCGGATGGCTTGCTTCGTGCGTTGGTGCGAGTCTAAAAGGCAACCTGAAACGCATCTCCAACAGAGATTTCGCCTGGTGCCAAGATTTCTCTCACAAAACGGTCCCCCTGGCCGCTTGTTTCGAGATTTTAGTCGTATTTACCGACGTCTGGTCAGAGACAGGCGCGTGCTCACCGGTTGGTTGATGCCAAAGTCGCCCCTAAAGGGGCTTACAGCCAATAAGCTATGATATTACCCTGTCAGCCATGATCCTTAACGCCCCCGAGAGCAAGAAAAAAACAAGGAGAAATGCAGGCAGAAGAAGAGCTGAGGACATGACCGAAGTACTCCGCACGTACTTACGCAGCAAGTACATGTGGTTATGCATCTGAGTCTGTCTCCGTATATACCCCCCCCCCTCCTCCGCTATAGCAAGCTAGCTGGAAGAGAGCTGCTTCTTTGGGTTTGGTGTCACCGCAGGCTTAATGAGATACCCGGGCCTAGGTACGGTACCATAAATAGGTTACTGATCATCATGTACGGAGTATATCACAAGCAACGCGATCACAATGTCCATCGTGTGTTGGCGTGCGAGATGGAAAGACGTTCGATCGTATAAAAAAAGTGTCAAAAAACAAAAACTCAAAAAAAAAAAAAAAAGCCAAAAGGGGATTACCAAAAGCGGTTAGGGCGTTTGAGGTTGGTTGGTCTGCGCCGCTTTTAGCTTGTGCTGAATCAGCATAGTACAAACTCTGGTTGCTTTGCTTAGTCATTAACAAGACGCGTAGTGCGGCGGCTTTCTCCTCCCAACTCGGACGAAGATGGCCAAAAGACATCCACTCCGCCTCGACGACGACATCATCATCATCATCATCATCATCATTAGCAGCAGCAGCAGCAGCAGCAACAGCACAGCAATGGAGATACAGCTGGCAGATACGGCGTAGTGGCGACCCGGTTTGCCCTCCATGACTTTGCTTTTCGCTCGAGGACAGCCATACCTGTCTCTTGCTGTTTGGCTGTAAGTAGGTATTTCTTTTTCCCTCTAGATATATATTCCTTTTTCAAACAGCGAAACTTTGCAAATGCAGTGCAACTCTAAGAAATACTCCGAAGCCTATCTTGACAGGAAGAAAGCCTGACTCCACCTCCACCAACATTTGCAGCGCGCTCACACATGGCATCCCATGCAACCGGAGTGCTCCCCGAGGGGGTAGAAGCCCGAAAAGCAATAGTGACCAAGAGGGGAAGAAAGGAATGGCACACATGCTCTCAGAAAGAGAGTGATGGAGGGAGAAATCAAAAGAAAAAGAAACGAAAAATTCAAGTCACCTTGCACAGTCCGGACGCACGCAAGGCAGAACAGTGGTACTTTTTGTTCCCATGTTGAAACGTCAAGGGGATACATCCAGCAGACAGGCACTCGCATACACGAAAGTCTATAAGCCGGATGTCGATGTCGATGGACCTTCGACAATTACAGACAAAAAAAAACACGCCTGGAATCAAATCCTTCAGAGTGAAGGGACCAGCTCTCGCTCATCTATCTTCGTTCGGCATGTGCTCAACCTGTTAGAGAAAATTTTGTTTACGGCGTACACCGATATATGTGTGTACGGAGCGCATGTCTCTAATTCGATATACATATAAAACTATCGGCCATCAAAAGTGTAAGGAGTGGTCGCTCACTCATAATTATGCCAAGGACCAACAATGAGAAAGAACACCAACATCTATCCCTGCTAGGGCCCATCGCCGGTTGTACGGAGGACAGCGCGAGCCCCCTCTCCTGTCCAATGACAAGGGAGAGAACGCACAAAAGAAATGGATGCTTGATCGGGTCATCTCTCCGTTAATCAACCTGCGAGTGACTATCAGAAGCGCATACTTTGAAGCCAAACGGAAGCAAACTCCGATCAGAGGTTAAGATTAACTCGGAGAAAAAGCACGATAATGGATGTGTCCTCCGTTCTCTGTTGCAGTGCGACTTGGAGATTCACTCCTTTTCCAAGGAGCATATTGTTCAAAATAACGAATTTACTCCATCAAGTCAGCAAGTCAAAGCTCGAAGAAAGGATGCATGAACCTCCATTCCTTTTTTACCCTTTCTCTTTTCTTTTTCAACGCCAGGGCGGGTTGTCTGGTATCTTTACTTTAGCAGTCGTCCACATCGGATCTCGACCAAAAATGTTATTATAATAAGTACGGGCTGGTTGGCTGCTACGGACGCACACTGGTGGACCGAACATCAATCAGATATTATTCAAGCCTGTGGGCTTATCCACCACTCCACCTGTACGTCCAAGCATACTCTGTGTGCAACGCAAGATAGACGCACGATAACTTTCCATATTATTTTTAAATCGACATTTTCTCTGGCTTGGTAAGTTACGCTTTTTTTTTTTTGTCGTAAACAACTTCCACTCTTGGACTGTTCTAAGCCTTTGAAGGAAATTGCTTATTGTCCTGGCTGATGTTATGGCCGCAACACCAAAATATATGTGGACCGAAGTGTGCAACAAGTCAATCGACAATCCTTTGGCTTATGTATTCTTTGCCAGCTCCTATTATCTCTCCTTTGAGGAATTTCCACCGTCAAGACTCAAGCGATGGTTCTGGGGACTGAGAGATTTACCGACGTCGCTGGAATAACTTTATCTCGCCGCAAGCTTTGGGCCCCCTCCGCATACGGAGAGTAGTATAAGTAAGTTATATGCATAATCTACTAGTTATGAATATGGATCCCTTGCGTATAGCATGTGTTTATATTTACATGCATCTCGCAGGACGGAACTTGTCCTCAACACAGGAGACACTTCACCGAAGCGAGCGACCAGTGTTGCGAAATCGACTTGCTTGCTGCATTTACAATGGCTCTTCCTAATCCGCCGAGCACCGCTGAGCACCGCTTCAAAAAGAGACGTCCAAAGAAGCATGAGCAAAACGCCTTTAATAGTGGAAAGAAAGAAGCAGCCATGAAGGCGACAAATGAAAGTGGAAAAAAATGGCGCATGCGGTCAACTTTTGCTTGAGAATATATTTCACAAAGTCTCCATGGGTGGATCGGACAAGCTTACGACAGCCTAATTTCCTGAGTTGCAGGGGGATGGGTCCCTGTTCAACGATGCCAAACTCCTATTTTTGCTTCATTATTCACATCATCTGAATGGACTGGACGGTAAATTAAGGGTTACGCTAAAGAGGAAGGGAAAGAAAATACCACGTTGGCTTCGACCTCGATGGGGGATGGCCTCCTTACTTAGGTAGGAGCAACCCCTTAGGTGACTATGCTTAATATTTTATCGTTAGGGTTGGGGACAGTCGCCGATTAGGTAAATCCTCTCCTTGGTATTTTATTATCTGAAGCATCTCCTGCGCCGTTCAACCCAGCCAAAAACCCAAGGGCCTTTTCTTTTTCTCTTCTTCTTTTTTTCTTTTTCCTTTTTTATCTTTAATTTTTACCTCTTTTCTTTTCCTTACTTAAACCAGCCACGAGTCCTAACCGGAGATTGATCAGCCAGCTTGGTCATTATTACTCCCACTGCTCTGGTTCTGTTCATGCACTTCTGCACGCCACGGCTCCATAGAGAGCGTTTCCGATTTAAAGCAACCGATGCCACAGGAGATGCGGTGGGCGAACAAACTGTCCATGCCTCAGGATTCCCAGGTGTAGGAAGAAACGAGTTGTTTCGCCCTCAAATACCCCCTCTGCAATTTCAAGATTAAGGACGGTGCAGTCAGATGTATTGAATTCTTCCTGACGGATGCATACCAAAAGAAGAACTTTCCCCTTCTTGCTTTTTTGAAAACCAACACCCCCACAGCCAAGTCAAGTCATCCGACGAAATGGATGTTATTGGCGACAGATGATTGGATATGCTCAACATCTTCAGGCCCAGAAGTTCACGGTCCTCATGCTAGTCGATGCCGAAAGGAGAGTTGAGTTCGCTCGACATGTTGCGCTCAGACATCTTTCCAGCGACACATGAAGCATAAAAAGAAAGTATGTCTAAAGTGTAGAAAGCTTCTGCTGCCAGCAGAAGTGGATGATGATGAAGAAGCAAAACTCAACTTCATCTTCCATTGCTCAAAACGCCAAATAGAAAGCCATGCTGCGCGAAGCTGGCCACTATTGGGCTGACATAATCCCGCCTAATTTCAAGATCAGCACTGAACCTGATGCCTAAGATATGCAAAGGCCCCCCAGTGAAGGCAAAGAATGAATGCCCTTTGTGTGATTTGAAATATGGAGCGCAAAGTGGTCAATCCCTTGCCTGGATATGCCCAGGGTGTACTCCGTATGCACAGATGATACTCCATTCTCTCAACAGGGCTTGTTTTGGTCATATTTTTCTTTTATGATACTTCTCTTCTGGAAGTATCATATATTTTCTTTTCTCTTCTCGCCTCACTTCATGTGACAAGCACCAAAGGGCTCTTTAAGAGCAAGTTGAAACCAAAATACTTTCCGGTCAACGGTTTGTAATCATTTTTCCGCCAATTTTCTTTTGGCCTGGGGATGGATGGTCAACCCATTCCTACAGGGTCTGATTTCTTCTCTAGTTGTAGGAAACTTTTTTTTTTCCTCTTACAGACATGACCAACGCATGCCTCCCTGTGGCTGCATCTTGCTCATGCATCTATTTCTCTTGCATATTCTTTTTTTTCATGCAAGCTTGCTGCTGATGGAACACTCCAATCAGAAATAAATATCCCATTGGGTTTGGCGTTCCATATGGACGAAATGCAAGTATTTACGTTGTGCAATATATGCAGGATGTTTACTAAATAACGTGCTTCAAATTCATTGCCTTCGGGAAGGGTAGAAAACCTTACTTTGCACGCCGGACAATATAGCTAGCTAACCACTCTTTTCCCAAAGTCTAGTTGCGCACACTTTCTGCGAGGTCGGGCCATCTCTCTCCGCAAGCGCAATTCTTCTCATGAGCATTCACGTATCCAATCACATCAGGCTGTGGAGCGGAATACTCACATATCACGCAAACGCGGCTGCTCCGACGCAATATAATATATATATCCTCTCTCTCTCATCAACCCCCTCTCTCTTCATATAAACATCTGGATTGAGCAGGGGTACGGTTGTATCGCTCTTCTCTATTGGTTGGCCTCCCCTCAACTCACCTAGATTTGTTTTTTATCATTTCAAAGCAAGAATCCACGCCACTCTACCTCGTACACCCTCTGACACCTTGAGGTACACATGCCCCGTACTCAACAAGTCGGTGGCTGGGAAGCATCTGTGTCTGTGAGTGCACAACAGGGGTAATAGCATGGAATGGATTTTGGGTTCGGCAAGTCCGTCATCGTGGAGGAAGGATTCCTAGCTTCGCCCATACCTCTACAACTAACTACCATCAACCTGGTGCATGGGGCAAAATGGCACACGGCACCCATGATGCGGTAAAGTGAAATATGATGACGAAATACGGATGCTGTTCGCTTTTTCCCTGCTTATAGCTTCCATGTACTAAGTATGCAGGTCATTTGGCCTCCGTATCTCCCGATCGTCCTCCTGCACGGAGTACATGATGGCCCTTGATGAAACGGGGACTCCACGAATTCGTCAAGTGAACTCGTACCAAGTGTCTGGAAACTGCCCATGAATAGTATTTCGGTGGGACGGACAGCCTTGTCTCATGGCCAGGCCAGGATGAAATATCTATCTGTGGTGTTTTCGTGGCCGAAGGCTGAAAGATTGCGAGTATAGCCAGGTGGAGTTGGGGTTGTTTTCATTTGACTTTTTTTATCGTGGTTATTTTCCCTATCTACCCATTGGACATCTGATAACTGCTATTTTTATCTGTTCTTCCAATCTCTTACGTAAAAGGAGCATTCCATGGATATCTAGATATTTCATGAGTATCTTGTAGATTGAGATGATATTCATAGCATACACATACATGCTAATAATAAACCTTGGTTCTTTTCTTGGAGTGATGGCCTAGTTTTCTGGCAGGCACTCCACGCGGTGACGGGACACGAAGACACCATTATTAAG